TAACCTGGACCCTGAGAGGCAAAGAACGGACCTGCCCAGGCTTATCCTCCTTCATTACTGGCCAATTGCTTTGACCTCTTGACTTTGCATCTGGCCAAGAATTCCTTTACTCCATGGGCCGATACAGGATGGCCCCACTGAGCAAACGTTGATTTAACCTTTTGCGTCTCTTGACACTATTATGAAATCCATTCCGTCAGAGACTAAATTGTTAAACAAGGGGGAACTTTGTTTTTGTTTACTGTTTGTTGTTCAAAGAGTATTTATGGGAAATCACAATATTACCACTCCACATGAGTTTATCAATATATTGCCACTTTCACAAGCTAGAAGTGGAGAAAAGATATTCTTTGTTTTAGAAAGGAGGTTCTAATACCCTATTTCTCTTTTTCAATTTCTCATTACATGCTTAAGAAGATATTTTACTGTTCATTAATTTTACTACGAAATATTATCTACATTAAATAACAAAGTCAAAAATTAATTTGGTCTACATAGTGCCTTTCATGATTTCAAGTGACTTGTTTTTATTGAATCACATATATGCGCAGACTTGTTTTGCTCATTTTTTTCCCTTCCAGTCTTTTAAAAACGTTTTCATAAAATAAAAACACATTTCCAACATTGCATGTCCTTAAAACTTTAAAACCTAGAACAAAATATGATAATGCAATAAATAAAGGCAACCTTCGGTCCAAATAAACACATCCTACTTTTTAGAAATGAAAGTGGTTTCCATTGTGATCTGCACAACTGGTTGGTTACTGCATTTTCCAATATTTCTGCTGCTTGAATGTATCTGCTGACTAAAGTTAATTCTGTTAAATGTGATTATCCCAATGTTTCCCTTTTGTAGTTTCTAATTTGCTTTAATTTGGAGAAAGAACATTCACTGTAGATAGAATGACAGTGAAAGAACATATTTTAGTAAAACTTGTATACATGCCGCTCTATTTTATAATAAATGTTTCAGCAAATTCCCAGATACTTGTAATCTTTTCACTATAATTTGTTAATGAGTTTATGCAAAGCAATAATACTTCCGTAAATGACTCATTATTCACTTGAAAATTTTTTGTGCCTTCGGAGTGCTTATCATACTGAATCTTTTAAATAACTATCTCATTAAACACAAATTCAACCAAAGAAAAGTTTTGCTTTATTTTAAATTGCACATTGCAATATTACCATGATATTGACTTGATGAGCATTGGCTTTTCTGATTATTTTTTGAATTAGAAAAGTAATATTAGGTTATGTCTTCCAGAAGATTCAAACAGCTCCCCAATCACTCTCTTTTATTAAAGTTTTTTAAAAATGTTGTCTTTTTGAAGCATAACCCATCCAGAAGAATGCACAAATCATAAGTATACAGCTCAGTGAATTATAACAAAGTGAACACCCCCATGAATAACCATGGAGATCAAGGCATAAAATGTTGCAAGCACCCCAAAATCTCCTCTGTCCCCCTCGCCATCACTGCTCTCCCTTTCCTCCCCAGACACAACCATGTGCTGACTTCTAACGCTATAGATGAGTTTTTTCTGCTTTGTACTTTATAAAGTGGAATCATACTGTGTGAACCCTTTTGTGTTTGACTCCTTCACTCAACATAATGTTTGTGAGAAGCATTTGTATCATTGCGTGCAGCTGATTCCATCCATTATCATTGCTTTAATTTCACCACGTGACTAACTACAAGAAAGCAATCTATTCTACTCTTGAGAGAGATTTTGGTGGTTTCCAGTTTGGGGTGGTTAATTTTATATGTCAACTTGACTAGACCGCAAAGTGTCCAGATATTTAGTCAAACGTTATCCTGAGTGTTTCTGTGAAGGTGTCTTTGGATGAGAGGAGCATTTAAATCAGTAAACTGAGGAAAGTAGATAGCCTTCCTAAGGTGTGTGGGCCCTGTCTGGTCAGTTGAAGGTCTGAATAGAACAAAAGACTGACCCTCCCCCAACTAAGAGAGAATTCCTCCAGCCTGGCTGCCTTTGAAGTGGGACATCATCTTTTTCCTGCCTTCAGACTCAAACAGAAATGTGACCTCTTCCTGGGGCTCAAGTCTGCCAGCCTTTGGGCTGGAACTACACCATCATCTCTCCTGGGGCTCCAGCTTATATATATATATGTATATATATATATATATATATATATATATATATATATGTATGTATATGTATATACGCCCCCGTTGGTTCTCTTTCTCTGGAGAACTCTAATAAAGGGGTCTTATTAATAAATCACTGCGAACACCTTTAAACATGCCTTTTGGTATACATCTGCATGTGTTTCTCTTAGCTAGAGATTTGGGGGGGGGGGGAAATTGCTAGGTTAAAAGGTCAGCATATGTTGAGCTTTAGTAGATACTGGCCAACAGTTTTCCAAAGTGTTTACGCTAACTTTCCACCATCTCCACCCTTTCTGCCAGCAGGGTGTGAGTGTTCCCTTTGCTCCACACCCAGGCCAACCAAATTTTAGCAATTCTGTTGGGTGTGAGCGTATTACATTTTGGGTTTAATTTGCATTTCTCAGGTGACTAATGAGGTTGAGCAACTTTTCATATATTTATTGGATATTTAGCTCTTCCCTTCTGTGAGTTGTCTGTTCAAATATCTGCTCTACTTTTCTATTTGGTTGTTTTTTCCTTGATATATATATATAATAAAGTTTTCAAGCCCACTTATTGACTGCATCTTCTCTAATTTCTTTCAATCATTCGCTTGTCAAAGGCAGTATTTTTATTCCCTGTTATGAAAGATGAAAATTTTAGCTCATCTACAATGTCTCCAAAATATTCTTCGACAACCTCACACTTTGCGTACGTTATAATCCTTCTAGTTTGTCTTAAAATTTCAAGTAATACACTTAAGCTTCTATTTTGTGATCAAATTTAGAACTATTGATTCCTCACTATGTAAACTAAGTCACCTAGAAAAGTTCTTGGCTCACAGTAGGCACTCAGCAAATGCTTGCTAAAGAACGGAAGGGAGGGAGAAAATGGATAAGAGGCTAGAAAGGATCAGTATATCCATATTTCTCGCCCACTTTTCTACACACTTATAACAGTAATATCACTTTGTTTACATTTTCAAGGTTTATCATGTTTACAGTTTGTTCCATATTATGATTGCCTTCCACATTTTATCTATAGGTTGATTTTAAAAATTCAAGACTAATATAAAGTATCATGAGCATGAAAATATCACTGTGACAGATTGTATTTCCTCAAAATGGCTACAACAATATTTCCCGTCCCACATGTTCTTCCGGAACCTTGTTCCTCTTCCATCAAGAGATGCAACCTATCTCCACTTGTCTTGAAGCTCAGTGGACTTCTGTTGACTGCCTCGCCTGATAGGGTCCAATAGAAGTAATGCCCTGTGACTTCTCAGTCTAGGTCATAAAGGCAACATATTTTCTGCTTGATTCTTTCTTGGAACACACGCTTTAGGAGCTCTGAGCTATCATGAAAGAAGTCTGGCTACCTTGAAGCCGCCATACTGGAGAAAGCACATGGGCAGGCCACATGAACATAGAGAGAGACGCCAAATAATTTCCAGCAGTTCTAGCCCTCAGCTGTCTAGCTCTAGTATTCCCAGCTCAGGTACCAGACATGTGAGTGAAGGAGCCTTCAGGATGACTCCATGCCCAGCCACCATCTGACTGCAACCTCACAAGATACCTTAAGCCAGAACCACCTAGTTGACCCACTCTCAAATTCCTTGCCCCCAGAAACCATGAGAGATAACGATTGTTAATTATTGCTGTTGTTTTAAGCTATAAGTTCTGGGGTGATTTGTCATGTAACAATAAGATAACTGGAATAATCACTTACTGTAAAACAGATTAGCATTATTGGACCCGTAGAAAAAATGAATATAGATCTATTGCATTAAATTTGTCTCGTTCAAAGAAAAATATTCTAAATATCAAAATTAAATCAGTCCTTTCCTTTTATTCTCCATAATTACTCAAAATGATGCATATTTTCGTTTATCTCATATGGGAGGAAAGATTTTTTGGTACAGCTTTTTAAATTTTTTTTTTTGGAGTTTTTATCTGGCTTTCTTTGTCCTTGTTAACAGACAAGAACATTGCTTTATATTGTGTATTGAAATCTACTTGCTTCTTGAAGACATCCTTTTTGGAGTCTTCTGACTTTTTTGGACTGATTGCTTCCAGATTTGCTGCACAGTTGTCAAACTGGGATTTCCTTTCAGTATTCTCTGAATATTTTTTTATGTTTTGTTATAACACACAATTAATTAATTTGTTGAGCATGCACAGAATAAAAAGTTTCTGCATCACTATGTATCTGTAATCTTCTCAATTTTGCCCTCACATTTGATTGTCTAGACTCCTAATCATTCTCCCTCTGTATTTTAGACAGTGCTCCATTGTCTTCTGGCTTTCACTGTTGCTCGAGGAAGTCTGTTGTCAATCTTACACTTGTTCTTTGGCGATAACCTACTTTTCTCTCTGGAAAACTTCGAGATTTTCTCTTTAGCCCAAGTGTTCTACAATTTCTACAGGTGTGTCGAAGCATAACTGTCATTTTATTTAAATGCTTGGCATTTGTTGGGCTTTTTCAGTTTGAAGATCCAAGTCTTTTTTCAGATCAAAGGTTTTCTTTATTATTTATTTGATTACATCCTCCCTTCCATTGTTTTGAGAACTAGTTTTAAATAAACTCTGAACAATTTTTAAAATCTATTTTTACTGACTTAATTTTTCTCTTATATTCTCCACAACTTTCTCTTTTTTTATCTGGCCTTTTGGGAGATGTCTTTCACTTTTATCAACTAATTTGGTCACTGATCTATTAATGGCAGCCAGTAACAGCAGCAGCTGCAATAATACCACTATCTGCCCAGTCATGAGACATTCTCCTTGTTATTCTGTCTTCTCCTAGACATTGCTGTTCCAATTAATCAGAGTTATGAGACCTTTATGGGTTTGAGTTTTGTTTGGATGACCTTCAATCCCTGTGTCTGCTTTAATCTCCAGATCGCAGTGAGCATGGCAAAGATAAGAGAGTACAAATTAAATACAGATGATGGAACAGTATAAACATAATAATAATGCCCTATGTTTTTATAGCAAAGATTTTCCAGCTTTTATCTCATTTATTCTTTCAAAATATTATGACGTATGTGATTTGGGTATTTATTAGATATTTATCGAATTTTTTTTTTGATAAAGTTAACTTTCTGGTTGTCTATTGTGGGGGAGGGTAATAGTTTTCCCAACTAACATAGGATTTTCAAATGACCCATTAAAATCAAGCATAGTTCTTTTGATACTGGGGTCTTTGTTCTACATGATAGAAATACTTAGTTTTAGTAACTAAGACAGGTATGCCATGGTAAATATAATGCGAAAACACTGTACTACACTTCGAGTTTAAATGTTTTTAGTTTTTTTTTAATGGGGCAATTCTACACAGAACTGAAATATATAAAATCAACAAAAGTGGGAGCGGCCCTAGTGGAGGAGGGTTTAGGGGGCTGGAACTCTGCCCACCTGGAGACTCCTTTGCCTTCAGTTGATGCCAGCACGGTGGTTGCAGGGCCACATCTTCATACCTCTAGGGCTCTAACAAATGGAGTTCAAAAACCTTGGATCTGACTTATTCCAAGGACGAGTTTTCCAGTTGCTATAAAAAAGCTACTATTATGAAGGCCCTTCTTTATGTGCCAAGCTAATGTCCACAATCATTTTCACCCTCCCAATAATCACTTCTGGAAGACATTTACTATCTCCTTGTCATAGTAAGGAAACCAAGTTCAAAGAAATGAGTAACTCACCCAACATCCCATGGCTAATAAGCAGACTGTTTGGCTTTTTACTCATGGCTGGCTCCAAATTCTATGTCTTTCTCCTGCCTTAAAACAAACGAGAAAATCTCTAAGCTCCTTTCTGGCAATAAAATTTTATACTTTCGAGATACTTTTAAAGAGAAGAGGACAAAACATTGATCAAAACAGTAAACCCGAACCAAAACCCAGATAGAGAAGGAACCACAGCAGTCCCCCCTGATCCGAGGTTTTGCTTTCTGTAGTTTCAGTTACCCGTGGCCAACCTCAGTTTGAAAATATTACATGGAAAATTCCAGAAATAAACAATTCATAAATTTTAAATTGCTTGCTGTTCTGAGAACCGTGACGAAATCTAATGACATCCCGGGACACGATTCATCACTTTGTCCAGCAGATCCACACTGTATATGCCACCCGCCTGTTAGTCACTTGGTAGGCATCTTGGTTATCAGATCGACTGTCTTGGTATTACAGGGCTTGTGTTCAAGCAACCTTTATTTTACTTAATAATGGCCCCAAAGCACAAGAGTAGTGATGCTGGCAATCGAATATGCCAAAGAGAAGCCATAAAGTTCTTCCTTTAAATGAAAAGGTGAAAGTTCTTGACTTAATAAGGAAAGAAAGAAAAATCATATGCTGAGGTTGCTAAGATCTGTGGTAACTTTTATTACAGTATATTGTTATAATTGTTTTATTTTATTACTAGTTATTGTTGTTAATCTATTCCTGTGCCTAATTTATAAATTAAACTTTATCATAGCTACGTATGTATGGGAAAAAACATAGTCTATATAGGGTTCGGTACTATGCACAGTTTCAGGCATCCACTGGGGGTCTTGGAACGCATACACCCCCACAGATAAGGGGGGACTACTGTATAAGCACAAACAACAAAGATAATTTGAGTGGAGGCAGAGACATCAATTTTAATTAGCTAGCTTTCTCCAGTCATTGGCTCTTTCTAAATGTATTGTAGCAAGAAGTGTCATTTTAGATTTTTCCCTCCCAAGTAGTTTTGTTGGTTTTGTCTTCTTCAATAAGAACCCTCATTACTTACTTACTTTCCAGCTCGTGGCCATTGGTCCTGTTTAGTTTATGACTGGTGATCTATTTTCAGACCTGTGCTGTGTGTTAGTGAAGTTTCTGGGCTCTCATCATGTGCAAGGCACTGCACGAAGCGCCCAGAGGCAGGATCCCTGTCCCTAAGGCACGTAGCATCAGGTTAGCATGAGGGAGACAAACCTGTAGGAGACAGCAAGGAACATTTACTACATACACCAGGGAGAAGCACGGAGAAGATGATTATGGGAATGCAGAGCGGGGAGAGGTCACTGTGCTCTGATCCAATCAAGAAAGGCTTCATGGAGGAAGAGGAGCTTGACCTGAGCCTCTGGGACAGGCAGGGCATTGAGTAAGAGGAGAGGAGAGGGGAGGGGAGGATAATTCCAGGTGGGAAAACAGGCAACTAACAGGACACCCAGCTGGAGAGGGCCTGTGACTGGCAGCACCATTACCTATGGTAATGGTGAAGGTACTTCCTGCTGATCCCATTTCGCTTAGGTAAAGTGGGCCTGGTCACAGCACCTCATTCCCTGTGAGCTGATCTCGAGTTTTGAGGAGATAATAAATAGTGTCTCACAAAAAGGAAGGAAAGGCCACTTCTACATATGATGGTTTCCTTTGTGTCTGTATCTTGGGGTAGAAATTGTGTGGGTAAAAATCCTCCTAAAACAAAACTTTGGGGTTGTATTAGTTTCCTGGGGCTGCCACGGAAAAGTACCATAAACTGAGTGGCTTCAAACAACAGAATTTTATTTTCCCACAGTTCTGGAGGCTAGAGCTCTGAAATCAAAGTGTTGACAGGGCCATGTTCACTCAGAAACCTATAGGGAGAATCCTTCCCCCTTCTTCCCAGCTTCTGGTGGTTAATGACAACCCTTGGCATTCCCTAGTTTGTACCTACAGCACTTTGATCGCTGCCTTTGTGGTCATGTGGCTGTCTCCTCCATGTGTGTTTCTCCCCACTTCTTTTAAGGACACCAGCCATATTGGCCTAAAGGCCCACTCTTCTCCAGTATGATCTCATCTTAACTAATTATAGCTGCAGCGACCCTATTTCCAAATAAGGCCACATTCTGAGGTACAAGGGTAAGGCTTCAGCATATCTTTCTTGGGGACACAAGTCAACCCATAACAGGGCTGAACACAACAATTGTGGAACTCTAGGAAGAAGGTTTTGGCTGGAGAGAAGGGATGAGATTTTGAGAACTTGTTAGCATCCACCTCAGAGACTGGTCCTCTGGAGGGCCCCATGGACATCTGTTTGGCCCCTTGAAGAGAGTAGTTGTAGGTGAAAATAAACGAGTGCTTTCCTCACAAATCTCTGTGAAATTTTTGAGTTGTGAGGCAATGAATGAAGCACAGAAGCTTGGAGAAGGAGAGGCAGGAAAGGAAGGGAAGAGGAGGGAAGAGATTCCCAAGTAGCTAAGAGTACTTGTTTGGCGGTACTCAAGAATGTTGTTAGTATGACTTTGTGACCACAGAGCAAGATAGAGATATTACGCAGACTCCAATCCAACATCACTTCAGTCCATAAGATATCGTTCAGCCAAACGGGAGGAATCTGGAAAGGGTACACAATTCACTTTGTAGAAAAGAGAATATTTGAAAGAAGTTAGCTGTCACTTGGGATAAGAGTAACAGACTTCTGCTACCGTATCCAATGATGTAATTGGATATTGGTTCAACTTGAACCCAGAAGCCAAGTTGCAAAATCAGCCCTGATGGAAAGATGCCTTATTGTCAGGGTGTCCAAAAAAAGGACTTAGTAGGAGAATTATCCTGAACAACTGTAGGCATCTATGTGCTGGTCAAAAATCTCTGGCAGATAAAGAACCTCAACTCACTGAAGGCATATCATAAGAGTTTTCAGAATAACCAAGGAGGCTTTTGGGGAAAGTTCCATCACTATGCAGAGAGAAGCCTAAGAAAGACATGCCTGTGTGTCTCCCACTTTGCGCACTGAGCAGTTCAAGGAGTGTCTGCTTCCCACCCCCCATTGATGTTTGGAGTGTGGTACGTCCTGATTGCTTGCCAAATACATGAAATCTGACTGCAATAAAAATGAAGCAGGGTGTCCACAGAAAGGCAATAACAAGGAGAAAAATCAGTAAAGGATGGCATTTCACCTATGAATGTAGATAACTTGGGTCTTCACATTAAAAATGTAGTAAGAATGAATAGAAAGACCAATAGAACAAAATTAAAAGTCCAGAAAAAGACACAAGAACACATTTAAAGTCTCATAAAGGTGGTATCTCAAATAAAAAGGGGAAAGTTGGACTTCTTAATAAAAGACGTTGGGGTAACTGAAAAGCTATTTGGAAAAATATAGAATTGGATCCATATGTCACACAGAATACCAGAATAAACTCCAAACGGGTTTAGAGATCTCAGTGTAAAAAATGAACCCATTTATGTTTCTGAGAAAACAGGTGAATTTCCAACACAGTGGTCGGAAAGCTGTTATGGGACTCAATATTCAGAAGAAATAAAGGAAGAGATCAATGAACCTGACCAAGCATAAATAAAATCTTTTGTGTGGCAAGAGTCAAAAGACAAAAGCCAACCTTGCAGAAACATTTGCAACTCGTATCAATAAGGGGCTAAGCTCTCCAAAAGCTAAAGCCTTCTTAAGTAATCATCACCAATAACAACCACAACAAAAGAAAAACTGATTACAAAAATAAATAAAAGGACAAAATACACAGACAATTCACAGGTAAAAAAAGAAACTGGCTTTTAAACACATGAAAAAATGTTCAACCAGACTTATAATAAGAGAAATTCAATTAAAATTTTACTGAGACATTTCTTACCCATCAGATTGGTGAAAACTCCAAAATTTGAACAATACGTTCTGTTTACTGGGCTTGCAGCATTTGCACTTCACATATGGCAGGTGGGAGGGCAAAATGGTGCAGCCTCCATGGAGAGGAGTTTAGCAACATCTAACAACGTTACATATGCATTTACCCTTTGACCCAGCTTCTGGGGAATCCCCCAGAATATACCTCCACCAACACAAAAGAAGTTTGCACAGTCATTAATTGCAGAATTTGTAATATCAAAGGATTGGAAAGGCAAATGTTCATCAATGAGGATTTGATTAACAAACTAGTACTAAGGGACTGGCATACAATGAAGTACTTGGCAGCCGTATAAAAGAATGAGGCAGAGTTCAATAGACACGGAGTCTTCTCCAGGATACGTTGCTAAGTGAAAAAAAGTGATGTGTTGTGCTATATTTATGTATGAAATCAGAGAAAATAAGAATACAAATATCCATACATATAAATATTTTACATATGCATGCTTGCATGTTCTGCTTCTTTAGTACAAACAGTGGCAGGATAAACCAGAAAATATGGTCACCTACAACAGATGTGGGGAGAGGACTGGGGTAAAAGGGATAGGAATGGAAGTGAGGCATCTCTGAGAAAGCCTTTTTATAGAGTTTTATTTTTGAAGCATAAAAATGTGTTATACAGTGAAAAATATAAATTAAGCAAAAAAGAAAAAAACGAACTTGTGAACTAGGTCATTAAATAACCATCAGAAATCAGAGACATCCTCGAGTTGAAATTTTCTCCATAAAATAATACCCACAACACACCTCTGGCATTCAGCAACCTCTGGAAATATTAATAAATATGGAGAATGACTGCTAAGCCCAGTTGCCCAATGATGGGCTCACAGCCAGCTCTGGAATTGCCTGGAAAGAAGGATGGGAAAGACTCCAAAGGCTGGCTCTGGAGACAGGCAGACTTGGGTTGACTCTGCCCCTTGCCACTTTCTGGGAGGTGAGTTCTAAGGGTCAGTCAACAGATGCATGGATAAAGAAGTCGTGGTATGTACACACAATGGAATATTATTCAGCCATGAGAAAGAAGGAAATCCTGCCATTTGTAAGAACATAGATGAAACTGGAGGGCATTATGCTAAGCGAGATAAGTCAGCCAGAGAAAGATAAATAATGCACGATACCACTTATATGTGGAATCTAAAAAAGCCAAACTAGTAAAAACAGAGTAGAATGGTGGTTACCAGGGGCTGGGGGCTGGTGGAGGGGTGGGGGGCAGGGGGAAGAGAGATGTTGTTTAAGGGTACAGCCTTGCAACTAGTAGATAAATAAGTTCTGGAGATCCAATGCACAGCATAGTGATTACAGTCAACAATACTGTATTATAGACTTCAAAGTTGCTGAGAGACTAGATCTTAATTGTTCTCACGACAAAAAACAATTAATTTTCTGATGTGATAGAGGTGTTAGCTAACGCTACAGTGGTAATCGTACTGTAGTATATAAATGTATTGAATCAACACGTTGTACACCTTAAACTTACACAATGTTATACGTCAACTATATCTCAACTTGAAAAAAAGAAAAGAAAGCTGGGGCCAGCCTGGTGCCATAGTGGTCGGGTTTGCGTGCTCTGCTTCAGTGGCCCAGGGTTTGTAGGTTCAGATCCTGGGTACAGACCTATACACTGCTCATCAAGCCATACTGTGGGGGCATCCCACGTACAAAATAGAGGAGGACTGGCATAGATGTTAGCTCAGCGACATCTTCCTCCAGCAAAAAAGAGGAAGATTGGCAACAGATGTTAGCTCAGGGCCAATCTTCCTCACCAAAAAAAAAAAAAGAAAGAAAGAAAAGAAATCAACTTGATCTTTCTGAGCCTGTTTCTTCATCTGTAAAGTAACTGTAGCAATGTCTTTCACACTGGTATTGTAAGGCTTAAGTGAAATATTGCACAGTGTACTAACTGGCCCATACAAAATTAGTCCCATCCCTGCTCTTTGTGGAAGGTCTACAAATCCCAGGAACAAGAGGTGACCATGGGGTCATGTGGCCTGTAGTCTAGGGAGGAGAGGGACTCGGGAAGGAAGCACACTCTTCTTTATGGCACATCTAACAGTTTAGTTTCCAGTCTCCCAGACTCCAAAAATTATGGAAACAGAAGGGTCTCCCAGGGGGCATGGAGAGGCATTTCTAGGGCGGTGCACTGTGGGGTGTGGGAGGCCCTCAAAACACTTGCCCAGGGACCCAGAATTTAAACCCAGTCACTTCTGGCCTCCATTGTCTGCTTCCTTCTTCCTCTGTAGGGTGGTTTCTCTTCCTTTCTGGAATTCTCAGAAACAGCTGTGAAGGAGTTTAGAGTCCTCTGTTTTCTTTTGGCCTTTGACTAAGAAAAGTGATTCAGCCCTTGCAACAGGGAAAGAAATGAGCTTTGAAAAGTGCCTGCAGGAGATTTTTAAATCTTTGAGCCCAGTCTGGAGCTTACCGGGACCAAACCTGGGATTATTTTTTTATTCATACAATTTTGACTCAGGAAGAGGCAGAGACACAGAAGCACCTCCCAGGTCCTGAGGGTGACAAAGTGACGAAGAGTGGCTAGTGACGCCAACAGGAAACAAAGGTGGCCCCTGGTCTTCGTTCCAAAGTCGCTACCAGTTGATACTGATTCCGGCTGAGACAATCAATGTCTGAGTCTGACTGATTAAGGACAAAGGAAAAAAACCTATAATGCTCAGGCAAATCAACCTTGAAACCAGATTCATTTATTCATTCATTCATTTAATTCATCAGATAAACATGCACTGAATACCCGCTGCACCAGCGTGCCTTCTAGCTGGGGGAGAAAGAACTTAGAAACCTGGTTAGGGTACTTGCCATGGTTGAGAGGAGAATTAAAAGGAGGGATGTCAGGTTCTTAGATTTGGAAGGACTCTCAGAGGTCACCTCGCGTTACCTCTCCTGTTGTCCATCAAAAAACTGAGGCCCAGAGCTGTCCTACCCAAAGCCAGACGGCTAATTCAGCAGACAGCCAAGATGAGCCTCCAGGTCTCCTGTCTCTGAGTCCTCTGCTACTTCCATCACAACCTGCTGAGTCAGGGAACAACTCCCAAACGTGGGAGAGAGAAAAAAGGCTAGAAAACATGGATTTACTAGGTATGGCAGAGAAGGTGAGTTGATGACAATTTTCCTTCTGAAAATTCTGGAAGAAGAGAATTCTTTGAGGACAGGTGCTGGGTGGGTAGAGAAAATATATTAAATTAATCATTTCATGATTCACTCCCAAATATCAGCTTCTTGGGAGAACCTCCATTGAGATCCTGAAGGAAGGCTTCAGCGTGCGTCCCCGAACCGATGAAAGATGAGTCACCTTACTATCTCACAAACTGGCTTCCTCTTCAAAATACGTCCCTCTGAATAAAAAGGCCTAGCCATCGTGGTTGAACTTGGATTTACTTGGTCTCTATGGCAACCACAGTGAATCCCCACAAGTCACAGGCAAAGGGCACTTGACATCTTAAAGCACAATAGACAGACCCTTTATATTATATCCGTTCCTCTTGCTGCTGGAAGGGAAGGAGACACCAACAAACACATTTAAGAGCTGCAGGAAGAAGCCTCTCTGCACCCGGCCTCATTCCTGAAGCTGCTGCCAAGGTCAAGAGTCATTCACGAATATCACCATGGGTGAGAGACAACTTCAGATTGCTCTCTGACACTCTCCTCCACCACACTTACCCTGAGCCCAAACAGAACTGGACCCAGTTATCATTTAGATGTATCAGGAGTTGGTTTGGCTGCATAAGAGGACGATCCAAATGAGCAGTGGCTGAAACACGCAAGGTTTCATTCTTTCACAGAAAAAGTCTGGAGGTAAACATCCTGGTGAATCCACAGCCGCTCCACAAAGGCTTTAGAGAAACAAGGCTCCCTCCGGTGAACTGCTCCACCATCCATCTCAAGGGTATGACACTCTTCGTGTTGCAAAAGCTATCACAACCTCATTCCAGGTAGCGGGAGAAGGAGGGGGTGGTGGAGAAGGAGCACAGGGTGTGTGCCAACGCTCTTTTAAGGAGCTTTTACTGCAGCTGCTGCACGGCTTTTGTACCACCATCCCGTTGACCAGCATTTAATTACTTGGCTGCAGGAGAGGTAGGGCGATCTAGCCTTGATTCCCGATAGCCTTGTGCCCATTGAAAAAGCAGGGGTCTATTACAAGGATGGATGGATCCAGCAGTCCCCAGCATCATGTGCAATGCAGTCCCTTGAGGGGCCGCATGAACGCTTTTATGCTTCTCAGTCCAAACTAGAGCTCAATTTTGGCTCCTAGCTCTGGTTTATAAGCCTTCATCTAATTGTGGACCGATGATCCTCAGGTGACAATGTTGGTGGAGAGGTTACCTCTAAGCAGAGAAGCAGTGGTATGATGAAGTGATTAGGCAGAGAGGTCTGGGGCCCTCAGTGGCATGACTTGCCACTGGCTAGAATTTGTGGCCAGATGTGTCCATAGATGGATGTGTGCTCCTGTTCTCTCAGAGTGCTGAGGAGCAGCAAGCTGGACACAACATAAAGCAGAGGGATGCTACTCCCATTCCCATGGACATGCTGACTGCTGGAGCCCAAGAGTCAGAGGGGGAGGCTGTTAAGGGGAGGCTGGGAAAGCTGGGATCCCGAAGGCTCAGGTGCGTAGAGCTTGGATTCAGGTAGAGCATCTTCTGCGGGGATATTTACAGGGTAATCCCGCTAGTCCCCCCAGGATTAGAGAGAGTGATACTTTAAGGCAGTGTGGGTTTACAGCTTCACGGAAGGAAGGCCACAGCAGAACAACTTAGAATATCACTTTTCAGCTTTTGAGGTTCAAAATAGACTGTTGAACTCCCAGCAGATATAACAGGTGCCAGAAAGGGCTTTTGTGTCCCAATGCCTAGCTCCCAGGTATTAAAAGCAAATGTTTCTGCCATAAGCAACAGATCTGGGGAAAATGCTTGCTCATGAGGACATAAGAGGCAGTGTTCTCAGCCCTTAAGTTTTGATTCTGTTTGGGGAGGGGAAGGAGAGTCAGGGAGGTGGATAATAGAGAACTGATGAAGGCCTGCACCCTGCTTCCTTTGGCGCGTTCT